GCTGCGCGGCGGGGCGGGCCAGGCCGGGCCGGAGGAGCGCCCGGCATGTCGCAAGTGCTCCCGGCGGCCGGCAGCGTCCTGCAGAGGAGCGTCGCGGCGCCCGGGAACCAGCCGCAGCCGCAGGTAGTGACCTAGAGGCTCAGGGAGGCCCGCAGGCATGCGGGTATGGGAGCGCCGAGGGGCACGAGGAGGTGGGTCTGGGGCTCCGGGGTGGTGAACTCTGAGTGCTGGGGTGAAGGGAGCTGCGGGAGCCAGAGACCGGCAGGACTGGGGGCGCGGGGTGGGTACGGGGACGCCGCGGGCGCCTCTGCCCGGTGGTCCCCAGCTCACGCACAGTGCCCGCCGCGTCCGGAACGGTGACCCGGCTTCTGCGCCCCGGGAAGCGGAGAGACCGGAGGGCGCAGACGCCCAGGCACCGTCCACGCTTCCCCGCACGTGGGATCCGCGCTGTCCCGGTGTCGCCATCCTGGCGCTGGCGCCCGCTGCCACCCTACCGCCGGCACGCGTGACCCTTCCCGGGCGCCAGCGTGCGCAGAGGGGAAATTCGGCCCGAAGGAGCAGCTCGTATCCAGGCACTCCCAACGTCTACCGTCCGAATGGGGAACTCGGGACCCATCAGCCTAAGGGTGCGGGGTGGGGGCCCACAGTGGGAGGACTCCAACCCCGCTGCTGGTGGAAACCCCTCGGCCCGCATTCAGCCGTCCATGCTGTGCTCGGCAACATTTACAACTGCGTACTCAGGAAACTGAGATAAAGTTGCCCGCGGGGATGGCCATCAGAGAACTTCCCACTCTGCTGCTCTGTACAGTCTTCATCGTTATGCACCCCCCCTTCCCAATTCGATGCCTGGCACGTAGTGTCATCAGGTGACGCTAGAGAGTCACACATTTCTGAGTTTGGACCTCGGTTTTACCACACAGGCTGAGTGGCCTTGGGCATTTTGCTTAACTACTTTAAGCCTCAATTTCCCCACCTGTAAAATGAATAATAACCTCTGGAGATTTTTATGAGGACTAATTAAGATATAGTTAATAACTTATGACTATCTTAACACTTTGCTTCCCTCTTTCTGTTTTGATTAAATGTTACTGCTGGGTTATCAGGTGTGATAGGTGATAAATCCAGTTTACAGGGTCTGCTCCCAGAAAGCAGGATGCAGGTTTTTTCCTTGGGCTCTATGACTTTTTGATTGTGAACAAAAAGGCATGATTTTGTGACAAGCACTATGGGAGACTCAAAAAATAGCAACCTCCACAGAGGTTACTAAGGGTATACCATGTGCTGGGAGCTTTAGGATAAAATCTCATTTTATCATATGCTAGTCCCAAGCATTAGGCTGTTAGAATGATTTCTGCAGTGATTACGGATCAGTTGTTCAGGGCATGCATCTCCAGTGCCTAAAACAGTGCCTGGGACGTGGCAAGTACTCAGTTAATACTTATTGAAAGAATGAATGACTCACACTTAACGATAAATGAGAAAATTGAACATTCAGAGAATTTAAGCCATTTCCCCTAGGCTATATTGACAGTAAGAGACAAAACCAGGGGCTATGTATTTCTAAAGCTAAAGTTCTGTCCTGTACACCACATTTTGCCCCTGTGGTGTTCTGTTTATGTTAACCAAGGCTTCTTTGCCTCTAAAAAACTACATTTTAACACCTTGTGCCTGTTCCCTTAAGCATTTCTTCCAGACCACATCAATTTGTTATATTATTTATATATATGTTATTCATCTGTCTCCTTCTATAGGCTTATATTCTTCCACATACTGAAAATTCTTTACCCACTGGAACTTGGGGAGAAGATAAGTGTCTCTCATATTTGGAATACAAGACCAGATAAAATAACTGAAATTACCCATTATTTTATATTATCAATATTTGCTTTCCATTAATGTTAATAATTGAGTAGCTTTCCTGTGTTTGTATCCTACTAACCTCTTGGCTTTTAAACTGTTTAAAGGTAGTATACCCCCTTCCCGCCCCTTTGGTACCTTCTCAGAGGGTTCCGGAAAGCAAATACTCTCTACTTCTCCATGTTTTTTTCTATAACTGAAGTGTTTTTACCTTGGTAGTTACATTTTTTTTAGCCTGCCTGTTTCAGGATAACTCTTGAAGGATTCGACCAGGTTTGGTTAAATCTCATATAGAGCTGAGAGCTTTCAAGACACATCATCAGTTTGCTTTCTGATTCACTCCGACCTGTGAAACAAAATGTCCATCAAGCATTGTTCAAACGAGGTGGTGTTTAAGATCATTTGGTGTGTTGGTAGAGTTGTGTGGTTGCAATTAGTTACCAGTGTAAAATTTGCATTCAGTATCAAAAGTACCTGTTTGTGTGTGGTGGTGTAAGGCCTGGCATACAGCAGGTTCCAGAGAGCACATGCCTTCTGCCTTCCCTGTTCTCAGATGGAAGTTCACACTGCACCTCTTCCAGGCACACACCCTGTGGGGTAGAGGTTTATGAACGTTTGTTTGGAGTCCAACAGACCTGAGTTCCACTTCCCATTTACCCACTTACTAGCTGTGATACCTGGAGCAAGTTCCTTACCCCCTCTGAGTTTCTTATCCTCATCTTTTAAATGGCAGTGACAGCACACATTTCTCAGGGGGGTCATGGGGATGAACAGCTAAACTCAGCCACTGCACATGGCTGAACAAGGGGCTACTGCTGTCCCACCCATGTAGCAACAAGCACTGCCGGGACTACAAATAAAATGGTGAAGTGATGCTGGGGAAAGAGACAGGACAGAGGAGGGTGAAGCAAGGCGCCCCAGAGGTTAGCACACCTAACCAGACATTTCCCCCCAGAGCCCAGAGGATGATGACCGGAAGGTCCGAAGGAGAGAAAAAAACCGAGTTGCTGCTCAGAGAAGTCGGAAGAAGCAGACCCAGAAGGCTGACAAACTCCACGAGGTGAGCCTGTGGTTGGGACAGAGCCACATTAGGGCCACGGAGAGGAGCCAGCCTCCGCCCTCACACTGCGGTGGTGGCCCTAAGGTCATGTCCCGGTCACCACCAGTTTGGACACGTACGTCTTATTTCACTGCGTCCTTCCAGCCCAGTATTCTGAGTCTTCACTGACACCTTTCTCCCTCATCCGCTGGTTGTTCCTTACTCTCAGGTTCCTTTCAATATAAATCAAAACAAAATGAAACAAAACCTCCTCTTGATCCCATTTTCCTTTTTAAGCTACTGTCCCATTTATTTTCTTTCCTTCCTCCCTTCCCTGCTCCTTCCAGAGAGACCCTCTGTCTCCATGAGCTCAGTGCCATTTATTCCCCAGTCCTCCGTGCTAGCGTTTCTGCCACCCCTCCCCACCCACACGCACGCGCACGCACGCACACCACCTTACGCAGGCGCCCACGTGCGCGCGCGCGCGCACACACAGAGCTTCCTACAGAAGCTGCTACCAAGGAGACCCCTAGTACCTTGGCACTGCCTGATCCAGGGGCTTCTTTCTAGACTCATCAACCGTGACCTTCCTGGAACAATTGACACCGTTGACCCTACCCCCTCTCTGAGACCTTCTTTCAAGGTCTTTAGCTTCTAAGAGACCGCATTTCCCACTTGACCCTCCTAACCACCTTTCTTCTCAGTTTCTTTGCTACCTTCTCTTCCTGTCAGTTCTCTTAAGTGTTGATGTTGACCACGCTTTCAGACCCTGTCCTTTTTCCTTCCCACCCTGGAAGATATGATCTGTTAATCGGTTCTCTCAGCATTAGCTCCCCACGTTGATTGCTCCAGGCAGGACCTCAGTTCCAGACCCCCGAACCTGTATCTCCAGTGTCTGCTTAGATGTGTCCAGATGGGTCTGCTGCAGGCTGCTTGGATGCAACGTGACCGTGATATGTGTGTTTACACTGAGACTCTCCTCACTGTCTTAAAGTTGAGTTAATGGACCTAACCACCGTTCTCATCACCCACATCAGGAACCTGGGGTTTATCCTGAACTCTTCCATTTTCCTCTACCCTTATGCATAATCCCACGTAATCTCACAGCCAGGACATGAGAATTGCCCTATCAGGACTGGCCTCAAAGGCATCCAAGCGTCTGTCCAAAGAATTGGTGACGGTTCTGAACTCTCACCTTTAGACAGGGATGGTGTGAATAATTGAGGATTTTAATTTAGCCCTTCCCTGCCTGCTCTCGTCACAGCTTATCTTAGCAAGGTGAGTCTGGGGGCATTGACGGCATAGCAGATGCCGAGGTGCTATGAGGGGGAAAAACGATCTCTGAAAACCTTTTCACAGTGAACTGAGAACAGATTTAGGATGCATATACTCCAGGGGGAGGTGACCCACTGATAGAAATTCACAGTGGGCATAAATTACAAATATCAGACTCTTTCCTGGGAATAGGAAGGCTGGCCCCTAAAAAGAGATAGGATCCTCAGGTGAGGATCAGAGAAGGTCCTTCCCAGCCTGAATTGGTCCTGTAAACTTTCCAAAGAAGAGGTGGGATGTCCTTTGCCTCCTTTCTTCCTTCCCCCTTGCTCCTGAAGCAGTCCTGGTTCTAGCCTCATGTTACCAGATAACCCCAGAAGGCACTTGCGGCTCAATTAGCGCATGGCCCTGCGTTCAGACCCCGTGTGCCAGCTGGGCAGCCAGGGCCCTTCCCCTCAAGAAGCTTCTCGTCCAAGCCAGGTGCATTAATATAAGAAAACACTAGGGGACACTCAGTTGTAAGTCCCAAGTGATTATGTCCGTGGTGGTGGCTAAATGACATCGACAAGACCTTCCATGGAGCAAGGGCGAGTAGATTCATTCCACAAATATTTGTTAGCACCACCATGGGCAAGTCCTTGCTGCTGGGTCACAGAGAGGAGTAAGATCTCATTCCTACTTTTGGAAGCATAAGAGTTTTCAAGGAAAGTGTATTCTTTTCCTATGGACTCTGTAATAAATTATGACAAATTTGGAGGCTTAAAACAACACAGATTTATTATCTTACAATTTTGGAAGTCAGGTGTCTGGAATGGGTCTCATGGGGCTAAAATTAACAAGAGGGCTGCATTCTTTCCAGAGGCCCCGGAGAAGAATCCATTTCCTTGCCTTTTCTGGCTTCTAGAGGCTTCTGTGTTCCCTGGCTTGTGGTCCCCTTCCATCTTCAAAGCCAGCACTGGCTAGTTAAGTCTTTTTCATGCTGCGTTACTCTGACACTGTTGTGTTGTTACATCTCCTCTGACTCTTGACTTCTTCTTTCCTTAAGGACCCTTGTGATTACATTGGGTCCACCTGCATAATCCAGGATAATCTTCCCAACGTTCAGATTCTTAATCACATCTGCAAGGTCTTTTTTGCCACACAAGGTAACATAGTCACAGATTCCAGAGGTTGGATGTAGACATCTTTGGGACATATTTGGGAGGCCTTTATTCTGCCTACCTCAGAAGGTAACATAAATACTACAGTGTCAAAGAAGACGGGTTTCTCTCAGTATCTGTCATTGTTGGATTTGATACCCAAATGAGCCAGATGCCTGGGAAAGTTAGGGGTGGTACCACATTTGCTCCTGCCCAATCCCTCTTAGAACCATGGTGGGGGGGGCCCTTCTGTAGGGTTCCTAGCTTCTTCTGCTGTCCCTACACTGTGTCACATGACCAATTATGCCAGGTGCTCTTTTGGGAAATGGGACTAATTGATCTGAAACCCAGTCCCTCCAAGGGAGAACACTCCCTTCTCTGACTCTGTGGAGCCAGAAGACTAGATCAGGTTTACCCACCACTGGCACATCACCTCATCAAGGCCAGTCTTGTTGAGAAACACAGTGTTCAGGAGGCCAGGACAGTGGCTCCATCCATATACAGACCCCAAAGCTGTAGCCCATACCTTTACTGTCCCTAGCTACATACTAGTGTTATTGGTGACAAGGGGAGGTGGGGAAGCAGGTGGCTGGCTCAGGAAAATGGAAACACATCCCAATCCTAAGGTAGAACAGGAATGTCATCTCTGGGCCGAAGGGTAGCACACGAATAATAGCTCTGCTGTTAATTCCTCACCTCCTTCCAGGGAGGGCATCCCAGTTATGGGGATCTATGTTCTGCGGGGCCAACATAGGAAGAAAAAAGGTAAATATAGTAAAAAAATGAGTATTTTTTTTTAACTTTGAAAAAAAATCTGCATATTGAGGGTGGGGTATCTGGTGTAAAAATGTGGTGAAGAATTGTTTTACTGTGCTCCAAGGAGTGAGTTGAGGGCAGAGCCCCTAGCACACTGCTCAGGGTCATGGCAGAAAAGCCCGTCAGGCCCCCTTGGGCTCCAGGCCACGTCAAGGATGGGGCAAGCGAGGACCAGACACAGTCTCAGAAAACTCCTCCAACCTGGGATCAGGCCTGCTCTCTCAGAGACTCTAAAGGGTGCAGAAAGCTGCCACCTCGTAGCCAGGGCCACCGCCACTCCCTGGAGCTTAGCCCATGAGCAGGGCTTATACTCAGTCCTTTCTCTATCCCATCCTGTGGCGTAGCATTGCTGCATATCTCAAAAGAATTCAAGATCTTTATTTGCCTATCTTGCATACCACGAAGGGGACTATTTAGAGCTTGTTTAGAGTTCCCACCTTTCTCTCCTGCCCACCTCATTCACTCACCTTGAGCCTCCCTTACCTCCAGCACCCTGAGAAACCTCCAGTGTTAGCTCCTAAAAGCCTCTGGGCCACCTCCAGCCGCTCCCAGTTCTCCATGGGGGGGGGGGGGCGGGGGCGGGGCCAGTCCGTCAGGGCGGGGCCTCCCTGGAGGGCAGGGCCCGGAGAGCCTGAGAGAGGCTGGGGTCACTCTTCAATCTGAGTTTTCCCCTCAGAGAGGTGGTTGCTGGAAGCCCGAGTGTGGTGCCGAGAAGCTGTTCCTAACGTGTGTCTTTGTACCTCAGCGCTCACTGTGGCTTTTCAAATCATCCTGTTGAGGCGCTTACACTTCTCATGGGGATTTCAGCCCCTATTCATCTCTGAACATTAGGCACACGCCTGAGTCCACATCCACAAATAGGGACGCGCGTGAATAGTCCAGCTCTCTATAGCAGGCTGAAAGGTGTCTCAGAAGTGGGTCAGACTGGTTCGAGCCAGGCAGCCCAAGGTGTAAGACTGAGAAAGAACATTGAGTCAGAAAAGGAAGGCAGTGATGCCATCCTCAGGAACCCCAAATGTCAGCAACTGACAGATTTCTTGGGCAATTCGGTTGTGGTCTGTGTTGTCATGGCTTCTTCAGATGTTGCATGTTCTAAGAGAATGCTTCATGTCATCCCCCCTTAGTTCAGAAACTGATGATGACACCAATTTGTACAGCCCGTCCTGATGACATAATTTTTCTGCTGGGAAGGAGATCAGAGTAGGGCTTGGGAATAGGCTTTATTGTAAAATCCTGAGCACTTACAGCCCTTTACTGCTGGTAACCACTTCGGGGAAATTTGGGGCCAGGCACTGCCAAGTGAAAGCAGAATTACTTCCTTGCTCAAGGGTTGCAGTTGACCTTGAAATCAGGTTCCAAGCCTGCACGATCTTGGAAAAGTCACTGCGCCTCTCAGAGTTTCACTTTCTTCGCTTGTGAAATGGGGTCTGTGTGTGGCTGTGCCCTCCTGATGGCCTTTTCCACCCCCTCATTTCCTTTCTTCCTTCGCTATCATCTCTGGTCCTGGGGACCCACATTAGCTCATTTGCCGGTTTTTCATCCTTGGACCCTGGATACCCCCAGACAGGCCCTCATTCCACAGTCAACCTCTCTTAGATGCTCAGACTAGGGTTTCTTAACTTTGGCACTGTTGACATTTGGGGCCAGATAATTCCTTGTTTGGGGGGCACTGTGCTCTGTAGGATGTTTTTCACGTATGTCAAGTCCAGGTACCTTCTTCTCGGTGTGAAGGGGGTCTTATTCTTTCCCCTTTCATCCCCGCGTCCTCTCACCTCCTTTCCACCTGTCCCAGCTACTCCTTTTATTTTTGTTGAGCTGGCCTCACTGGAAGATCTTGACTTCTTCTCTCCTTTTTATTCCTTCAGCTCCATGAAAGTCCCTTAGCAGGTTTATGAGTAAAAGTCAAATCCCAGAAGAGAAAGTCCCCACAGAGAAGGCAGACGAGGGGCCTGCTGGACTGGGGTTCGGGGGAAGCAGTGGTACCTCAGGAAGACGTTAGGCAGTGTGGCCCCTCATGGCTTTCAGAGATAAAGCTCAGAAGCTCACAGCATCCTGCCACAAAATTCAATAAATATAGAAGGGCAAACAAGCTAATATAGAAATAGAATATTCTGCCACAGCAAGAGACTTTCCTGTTTTTTGGAATCTAGTTAAAATGTTAGCCCATTGAAACCTATTGGTTGAGAGGACGCGGGGATGGACCATTGGAACATATATTCTCCATTTTACTGGGAGGTGAAGAGCCTTTCTAGATGCGGGGTGGAGTGCGCGCGTGTGCGTGCGTGTGTGTGTGCATGCGTGTGTGTGTGTGTACATGCACTCCACAGAGCTGCAGCCTGTCATCCCGCTGCTGCAGGCAGCCTTCCCGCGATGACTGTCCCTGTCTTCCCATTCACACGCTCCCTGGCCCACGGAGGGCTTGTTGCTGTGATGTAGGTGGAATTCGGGCTCCAGGACCAGAGCCTGTCAGAGGCCAGAGGACAGTGTGAGGAGTTGGGGTTGGCAGGAGGGCTGAAGGCGGAATGGAGCCCATGCGCTAGTGAAGTCAGTGACCTGGGACAGCCTGCGGGGGGGGGGGGGAAGGAGGGTGCAGCTTGCTGCCTTGGAGAGTATTCCAGACCACCCTGAGGGCCTGCTTGGGGAGGGCTCAGATGGCCTCTGTGTGTAGCCGCTCTGGTGCCTAGAGGTGGGGAGGGAAGGAAGCGGGTGAGAGAAGGAGGCAGAGGAGTCACTGGGCAGTTCCCCATCAGGCACGGCTACAGGAGAGGGTAGAAGAGGCTCCTAGGTGCTATACATTTCTGATCTTTGGGGAGCGATCTTATTTAGTATACGTAAGATTGAATAGGATACAAGATTGAATAGAACACATAATGAGGGATGTGGTTCCATTAGGTGCTGTGATCAGGGAAGCCTTCCTGGAGGTGGTGGGCTTGAGCTGGGCTCACACAGAAAAGGAGGAAGGTAGTCTAGTGGAAGAGAATAGCATTAGCAAAGGGGCAGAGTTGAGAATTTGCATGTGCTTCAGAGGCCTGCAAAAAGATCAGACTTTTTTAGTGATATTTTAAAAAATTTACTAGTCAGAGAAAAGATGTGTTGGATAATAATAAGGTTGGGTTGCCACCTCAGGAAATGCATAGTAAACAAAATTACAGCAAGATTTAAATAAGATTGTCAGCTTTGAGATGGTCTCTATTGGCATGCCTTAGGGCTCTGCCATTGTCAGTGACTTGGAGGAAGAAAAGGAAGACCTACTTATCAAGTTAATGGACAGCTTACAGCTGTGTAGTATCGTGATCTGTGAACTGACACGTTGAGATTCAGGAAGATTTTGCTAGGCTGGAAGATGCCCAAGTGAACAGAGTGAAAGTCAGGAGAAGTGGATGTAGAGCCCACACTTAATCTTCAGAACATCAGTCATCATCCAAATATAGACAGAGAAGCAGCAGAGGTGAACAAAACTTGCACTTCTCTGCAAGCTCAGGGAGACTCCCCAGGGTGAGGTGGCTGCAGGTGTGGGTCCAGCCCCAGGGCAGGCCACCTCCATACATCTCCCTTTGCATGGTCAAGCCGTCCCCAGAATCATGCACTGCCCTTTGGGAATGACACTTTTTCAGAGAGATCCCGGCAGATGAGAGTGTGTGTTGGGGATGACCTCCAGGAGGGCAGAAGGACCAGAAGTCTTTTTTTTTTTTTTT